TATGAATTTTCTGTTATGCGATTATGAATTTTCTGTTATGAGATTATGAATTTTATGAAAATTCATAATCTCATAACAGAAAATTCATAATTTGATCAACGCGCGCCGTTAACTCCACATCCGCGAATTTATTTTTTTTTTGGCTAAAAACGACGTCATTTGGGCTTGTGTTCACCATTCACGGTGAACACATTTCCAGGGCATAATTTGCCGTCCTCCCCTGTCCCCCGGGCCCATAGTAACTGAAATCTCCTCCGGGGATGAAGATGAGGTCGAGGATGAGCCCGCCATTGTATCCGAGTATGTGTCACCCGACCATGCCACGGCCGAGTTCGTCACTTCCGACACCGAGCTTCCGGGTTTGATCTTCATTAGCTCGATTGCTTTGTTCCTTCTCTTATAAGCATATATTTCGTACTCAATTTTCAATTTGTCGCAGATATGGCCGAGCCCCCTATGTCTTGTGAGGAGATTGTTCGCCGATTGAAGTCTCGTGCTCCTGCTTCCAAAAGACAAGACCGGCGAAAGTAGTCGGGCACCTCCTGCGTCACTAGACTCAAGGCCGAGCTCAGCCTCCACCACCGCCAACCCCTCGACTCGGGTTGCTGAGCCCATGATGAGCGCTCAGGCTCCTATTCCTCCCACTCCGACCACTTCGCTGAGATGGACTGTGGATCTTCCTCCTTCGGCATCAATCATACGAGGCGACATTCCATTTCATGTACTTGCACAGAGTTTTCTCCTTCCCCGTGATTTAGAACTGTGCGAGGGTGGTTCCCCCTTCAGCTCCATGATTGAGGTATAAATTTTTCTCCTTACACTCCCCGTTATTGTTTAACTTGTCTCCCATTCCACTTTTCACACAGGGTCTTGTTCGTGTTGTCCCCTGGACAACGCTTTGAAAGCTACTCAGGCTCGTTTAGAGGTCGAGAGGAAGGCCCGATCTGAACTGGAAACAAGCTTGGCGATGCAGGAGAGCCAATTGAGGGCGTTGGAGGCGAAGCAGAAAGAGTTACAGGCGCGGCGCACCAGCGAGGCTAGGGAGCATGAGGAGGTTCTTTCCTTTGCGGTGTCACATTACCGGATCTCCGAGGCCTTCAAAAAAGAGCTTGTTACTAGTTGGATTGCCACCAATGCTGGTAGGGAGCGCATAGCAGCGGAGGGGGTGTTGATGTATGATGTGGGTCGCGATGCAGCGCGACATATATGCGGTCCTCCATTGTCGAGACGAGGCCTTTAACCCTGCAGCATGGGGTCTCCCAGCCAAGCTTGAGAATCTCGACCTGACAGCCCCGAGCAAGGCCTTTAGCCCTGCAGCATGGGGTCTCCCAGCCAAGCTTGAGAATCCCGACCTGACAGCCCCGGGCAAGGCCTTTAGCCCTGGAGCATGGGGTTTCCCAGCCAAGCTTGAGAATCTCGACCTGACAGCCCCGGGCAAGGCCTTTAGCCCTGCAGCATGGGGTCTCCCAGCCAAGCTTGAGAATCCCGACCTGACAGCCCCGGGCAAGGCCTTTAGCCCTGGAGCATGGGGTTTCCCAGCCAAGCTTGAGAATCTCGACCTGACAGCCCCGGGCAAGGCCTTTAGCCTTGCAGCATGGGGTCTCCCAGCCAAGCTTGAGAATCTCGACCTGACAGCCCCGGGCAAGGCCTTTAGCCCTACAGCATGGGGTCTCCCAGCCAAGCTTGAGAATCCCGACCTGACAGCCCCGGGCAAGGCCTTTAGCCCTGGAGCATGGGGTTTCCCAGCCAAGCTTGAGAATCTCGACCTGACAGCCCCGGGCAAGGCCTTTAGCCCTGCAGCATGGGGTCTCCCAGCCAAGCTTGAGAATCCCGACCTGACAGCCCCGGGCAAGGCCTTTAGCCCTGCAGCATGGGGTCTCCCCGCCAAGCTTGAGAATCCCGACTTGACAGCCCCGGGCAAGGCCTTTAACCCTGCAGCGGCTGAGGAAGAGCGAGCCGCGGGTTCACCTAGTGAGACTTATTAGCTAGCTTTCCTTTCTTTCTTTTGTGCTATATGTATGCTAAACAGTCACTTCTTTTGCCTGTTTGGATTATGACATTGTTAGTTCGCCTATGGTTCTTTCCAATTTGCCCTTTTTGTCTTCCCTTTGCAAGAATGAGTCCCAAAGCTTGGATTTTAATATCTAGGTATATTAGCACCAACACTTCTTCATTTTTTATGACTATTATTTATTTTGACATATATTTTAGGAACTAATCCATTTTTATATCTTTTTATTTCCAAGAATTTTGTCTGCCAACTTACTAGACGGGGACCTAAACTAAATCTGCAATGCCTGGAGTTATCATATGTCGGCTTTCACGATGATGATGACTTTTCTTCATTTATTCATTCATTACGGATATGCCCAAAATTACACATGCTCGATATAAAGAATTTATTGGTAATCTTAGCTTCATTTTCATTCATAAATTTTCTAATGAAATTCTAGCTAGTTGTTCTATTATTGTTTCGCATTACTTAATACAAGGTTATACTAGTGTAAAAGTTGAATTGATTGAGTCTTTTTTTTTTTTTTTTTTTTTTTGAAGTTTTATGCAGAAATCTCTAAATCTATACTTTGGGAGAGACTTCAATATGCGGCTAAAATGGTTAAAATGCTTCACACTTTCAAGCTTAAATCATTCAATGGGTCGAGACCTGAATTGGAATTCATCATGATGCTACTTTCTTGCTTTTCGGCACTTAAGAAGGTTGTCATTATTCGCTCAGTAAAGTTTGACTCCAATAATGAGTTTAAAATTATGCAAAATCTTTTAAATTTTCATCGTGCATCAAAGAAAGCAAAAATAGTTTACATATAAGCTATCTTATTATATTTTTATTGAATTGAATTTATGCATCTCCTTAATTCACAAGTTAAATATTATGTAATGTACTAATTGTTGGCTCTAGTATCCTTACTAGTTGAATCTTCTAGCACACGACCTTTTTTTTGGTTTTGAATTAATGTTATGGTTGCTAGCTAGTTATCTACAAATATGCCAAAGGGAATGAAGCTATAATGTTGTGCTTTATAAAAATATAAGAATTTTTATTTTCAATAATGATCGACATAATGGCATCATTCCTCCTACATGAATTGTGTAGAATGCAATAGAATAAAATGCAAAGATATGTACATGAAAAGTTTTAGTAACATCGTATTGCTTCAAATCCCTTCTTTATACGTACGTGATATAAAAACTATTTAAGTCTAGTATGATAAGAAACATAGGCTTATAGATTATAATAAGCAAATATACTCAAATTATTAGTATAACATAGTAACAAAATGCCATTCCTTTCCATCGCCAATTGGGTCTAGCTAGTAGCGAATTTGCTAATTGCTTGTAAGGCTAGGTATCGTTTGTTTCACTTTTATAGAGAGCAAAATAATATTATAGAATACTAATATATTCCTCCATATTGTAAGAGTTGTCATAAATTTGGCCACTCTCTGCCCTCTCCACCCCAGGTGGCAGCAGAACCTGCTATGCAGCCAACACATACGCAACTTGTCCCGCCAAGGAAAAGATGGCGTCCAGTTGAAGAGGTTGCAACTGAACAACCGTGTGTGGAACAGGAAGAACAACCGCGCGTGGAGTAGGAAAATTTCAGTAATCATAAGATCGTTCCTCGCGAGACCATTGACTCTTCAGTACATGAAGTTATGATACCAGACAGTAACTCCAACCTTGGATTAGCGCTTATAGATGATCAAGGGGCTCAGGTTGAAAGTAGTAAAGATACAGTGCCTGGGCATTTTTCAGATGGTGAGGAGATTCAAGGGTTAGTGTTTTCCCGACCTCTTCTTGAATCTTGGAAAGAGGCTAGTCGAAAATTTGCAGAAAAGATGTGTACTTCAGGCCATAACAATTTTGTAGCAGTCACGTCACTCATAAAAAGCGAAGGCCCAGAAAGGGGAATGCTCAGTTGGAACATTCGGGGTCTGCTCTCCTCGTGCCGCACAGGCTCAAACGAATGATCAGACGCGAGGGTATCGGTTTGGTTGCAGTGATTGAACCTTTCCTTTCTCCTAATCAGATTGAGGATTTTGCACGGAGATTAAATCTTCAATTCTTCTTTGCTTCTACTACTTGTAAGGTGTGGCGTTTTTAGTGTTAACATTGTGACGGATGCTGATCAATTTATTCTTTGTAAAGTCTCTTACATTCCTTGGAATTTTGATTTTGACTTCATTGCGGTCGTTTATGCTAAACACACCCGAGCCGAACGATATGCCTTATGGTCACAACTCAGCAATTTCATTTCCAACCCGAGGCCGCTGTTGATTGGGGGTGATTTCAACACCATCTCCACTATTGCGGAATACCGTGGTAATGCAGTTCCAGATTTGGGAGGAATCTCATACTTCTCGGCTTTTATTGCTGATCAATTGCTTCTTGATATAGCAACAATAGGAGGCTTCTATACTTGGTCGGGAGTGACAAGTGTTGGGATTTTTTCCCAGATGTTAGAGCCGAGTTAAGGAGTAGACCTACTTCGGACCACTCGCCTGTGCTTCTGACGGTAGACAGGGCTGATTTTTCCGTTTCCAAAATACGTGGTTATCTCACCCTGGATGAGTTTAGAGATTTGGTTTCTTCTAGTTGGCTGCAGCCTATTGATGGGGGAGGCATGAGAGTCATGGCATTCAAGCTTAAATGGCTAAAGCAATCTCTCCGTGTTTGGAATAAGGATGTTTTTGGAAATATTTTTGATGTGCGAAAGACCTTGAGCTTTCAGTTGTCGAGGCTGAACGCAAATTTGATGACGATCCAACAGTGGCGAATTGGGAATTGCTTAGTAAAGAACATGCCTTGCTTCTTCAGGCTCTTCGTCAAGAGCAAGTTTTTTGGAAGCAGAAGGCTCGTATAAATTGGTTGCAGGAAGTTTTAGGAGTATGGATGGCTCACACGTGGCTTAAACGTGGCACAATCCTACCCCTCTGTTAGTTCTGTCTCTTGTTAATAGATGCAATGGTAGTTAGAAGCAGTTAGTGAAAGTATTCTCTCTGTACAAAACATCTAGACTTGAGCTCTTTGCAATTCAATTCAGTTTCAATTCTCTTCTTCACTTTTCTTGATTCTCTTTCCACTCTGCAACATGGTATCAGGGCGAGTAGAATAGAGGAGTTCCAATCTTTTTCGATCGAGCTCTCATGGCGTCCATGGCTGCTTGGCACCGCTCAACATCCCACCACCACCGGTTAATACCTCAGTCGAAGCACCGGTGAATGGAAACACAGCGCCGACCTCTTCCACAACGGCAACCAGAGGGAATTCCTCCGAGGTAAGATTCGATCCCCAAAATCAATCGAATCATTATTTCCTGCATATGAACGAAAACCCAGCCCTAGAGCTGGTGTCCATTCCCTTGGATGGTTCGAATTACCATCCATGGGCTCGAGCCATGACAATGGCTCTATCTTGCAAAAACAAGATCGCCTTTATCAACTGCAGTATAAAGAAACCTTCAGCAGACAATATAGAAAGGTTCATGGCTTGGGAAAAATGCAACAATATGGTTGTTTCTTGGATTGTTAGAACCCTAACCCCTGCAATTGGTCGAAGCGTATTGTGGATCGATACAGCTTATGGTATATGGACTGATTTAAAGAGAAGAGTCAGTAAACAAGATCTATTTAGAATTGCTGAAATCAATTGTGAGATTTATCAGACCAAGTAAGGTGATAATATGTTGAATGGATATTTTACTAGACAAAAATTATTGTGGGATGAGCTTGCAATTCTAAGACCCCAGTTGTACTGTGATTGTGTTGATAAATGTGAGTGTGGGAAGAAAATTGATAGTCTAAATGAACAATCTGAACTGGATAAGCTATCTATTTTCTTGATTGGCCTACATGAAAGGTACACAGGAGCTAGAAATCAGATAATGCTCATGAGGCCATTACTGTAACACCCCCTAAAACAGGCTAATTAAAACCTTAAAACATGCAGATAACACAACTAAACAACAAACACAGCGGAAGACTAAAAGATAACTGGATAAATAAACATCCAAGTCATGGGGTGTTATGCCACGTTCATCAACAAAGATGAACGCTACGGCAGAATCTGCATTGTTTACAACTATCCAAAAGTCACCAAAGTCTATAACTAAAACGGCACACAGACCATAAAACCAACGGGAGAAGCTATGCTAACAGGCACTAGACTGCGCACTCGCCTAGACATCACCTGAAAGAACACAATAAAACATGGGACGACGCCCGGTCAGCGAATAATGCTGGTAACCCACCAATACTTGTGAAATAACAAACATAAGTAAGATATAAGTTGTAAAGCCATTTTCGAAACGGAATACATAAGTATATAAGTACAAAACCAAGATTAATAGTCAACACAAGACTCAACACTCTCACAACAATACGGGAACACATCCCAAGACCACAAGGAACAACATGACTCACAAGAAGAGTCAAGGCATGATCTATCATCACTCAATAGATCAAAACCCGACAAGCACAACGCAAAGGAATAAGACTCACCCAACGGCAACACATGCACTCTATCACCAGGTACCCCATCCAGCCGGCTTAGACAAGCAACACATGCCTTTGTGACTACACACGTCACAAGAGAAGAACTCACCACAATGGCTACACAAGCCCTCGTGACATCACCCATCACGAGTTGATATGCCTTCCTTATGCCCGGTTCCAACCTTATGGCTACCCCCAACCTTGTATCTTCTTCCCAACCATTACCTCCAGGACCCATGTACTTCTTAGTCCAAAATTTTCCCTCTTGGGACCGTCGTCCCCCACCAACGACCACCAACGAGACCACCAATTTCATAGTACACGAGGGTACCTGGTGGGTGTCGAATCCAACAAATAATAAATTACTTACTCTTATTAATTGCAATAGTGATGAGTAATGTCGTATCCACAGAGATTGGTTCGATTAAATTTTATACCAAAAGACTTAACAAAGAATGAGACGAGAATTGAAAATTAAATAGCTATCAAATATCAAATAATCAATAGCAACTAGTATCCAACTCAAGGAATAATATCAATTGAATTCTAACAAGACAGATCATTGATTTCCAAGAAATAATTACTTTACTTTTTACCAAATTGGTTATGGTTATTAACAAGCTCTAATAACCTATCTTTCCTTACTCTGTCGATAATCAAAACATGCTATTTGATTACTTCCCTAGTTAATAAACAATCCTAAACAGGCTCTTAGGATTTAATTTCCTAACAGCATTAAAAGAATTAGAAAGATTACCAATTCTAGCCAACAAACTCAAAAGCATGGTTCATTTAAGCTAGACTATATATCTTCATAACATAAGATTGAAAATCTAATTTATAGTCAACTATGTTATTTGCTACTAGCTTTAGAACACTTAAACAATTACGGATTCAAAGTTCTAAATAGCAATTTAATACCTTGACAATTGAACAAAGGGTCCTTTTGCAACAATTAATCAAGCAATAATTAAAACTCATATAACAGGAGATATATAAATAATAAAGTGCAGAGAATAAAATTAAGCTAAATAAATCTCACTGGTCTTGTAGAATCAAACTTCAATAATCCTTGAATTGGAAAATTAAAACTCAGCAGTACATTGCAGGGAGTGTTTACAGTAAAATAAAATTATTCTAAGAAAACTGATTCCCTCTACTGAAAAATCCATCCTTATTTATACTAGTTCAGGCTCCCTAATCAACCCAACATAACCCTAATTTATCTAACATCCACAAACTAAATCAATTTCTTGAACCACATAAAACCTAAAAAATAAATAAACTTTATTTTTTCTAACCATAGAAAATTAGCAAGGTAGGCTATTGTTGCTCCAACCTCTAATTCAATTAACTGGTTCGTGGATGTAGCTCAATGAAGCGGTCTGCAGCTGCTGCAAAAAATTGATCAACCGTGGACTCCTTCATCGAATCAAATTGCGGACGAAATTAATCGCAGAGGTCGCGGACGGAGTCTTCTTCGCTTTCTGCGCGCTGCTCTGAACTGTACGTTGGGGGTGTAAACGAGCCGAGCTGAGCTCGAGCCTGGGTAGGCTTGAGCTCGTGCTCGTTAATGGAGGCTTGGCTCGAGTTCGAGCTCGAGCTCGATCAAGTTCGAGAACTGATGCTCGAGCTCGAGCTCGGTAATTTTCGGACTGCTCGAGCCAGCTCGATTGTTCGAGTTCGAGTTCGATTTTGACATATTTAATACTTTTGGTTTAAAATTCAAACTACTTTGTTTTATCCTTACATAAATAATAGAAATCTTTTAGAGATTTTGAGTTTAAAATTCTAATTTCTAATTGTTATTTACATATATTATTATTATTATTATTATTATTATTATTATTATATTATATTATATCATTATTATATATATTATATATTATATGGCTCGCGAGCGGCTCGACGAGCCACGAGCCTAGAATATCTAGGCTCGGCTCGAACTCGATTACTAAACGAGCCGCTCGAGCTCGACTCGAGCTCGATATTGACCGAGCTCGAGCCGAGCTTTGACCAAGCCGCTCGCAAGCGGCTCGCGAGCTGCTCGGCTCATTTACACCCCTACTGTACGTACATATTACGTATCTTGAAATCAAAAGAAAAGGGAAATAAGTTAGATAGGATTTTGGGCTACTAAAACAATTAAATTATTTTATTTGGGCCACTAGTTAAAACAATAAAAAGAAAATACTTAGCCCAAATAATTAACTGAGCCCAATTCTTATTAATATGAATATTAAGCCTAATTATTCAACTAATTACTATATTAGTTCAAAATATAAAATAAAGTTTAAATCAAATATATTATTAAATAAATAGAATTAATTTATTATAAAAACTAATCTAAATTTAACATATAAATTGTGCTTATCAAAATTCCTCACACTAATCATTTGTTTGTCCTCAAACAAAGACATTATTAAGAAAAATATAAATATAAAAACTCACTTCATGAACATTGGTCTCAACACACTATAAATAACTAGCTAGCAATTTATTTGAAAATAGAGTGAACTAAGTAACCAAGCTCTCACGGGAATATCACTCATAACGCACAAGTGTTTGAAGGGTGTGTGTATTTCACTCAAATCAATTCCTATAGAAATGCTCTACCATAGGCTTGCATATCTTCTCATTCTCTACTACAAGATAACATGCATGATCAAATCATAAGGACTTTTTCATGGTTGTAATGAGGCTAGGGTAAAGGGTAGGAATTATTTTGGAAAGTAGTTCAAAAAGCCTTAAAAACTTAGACGAGCATGATTGAATGAACTAATAATATAAAATAAAGACCAAGTGAACCAAATCTCTCTTATTTTGACAGTTTAACTCCAACCAAATTAACTATCACATCCCATAAGAAACTATTCATAGTTTAGTAAAAATAATAATAATAATAACAAAAATAATAATAATTCTTTTTCCTTTCTTCTGTTTTGTTTTGTATTCTTTTTCTGTCATCTTTCTTTTCGTATTTTTTTTTCTTTTTTTTTTCCTTTTCATTTTCTTTTGATTCTTTTTTCATTTTTGAAGAATCATTATATATACTTTCTTCTTGATTTCTGCTTCACCAACTAACAATTTCTTCATCATCCACTCCTCAATTTCTTTCTTATACTATTTTTTCTTTTTGAAAATACCAACCAAAAAGCTCATAGAATTCCAATGACAAATTCATTATTCTCACTCAAACACTTTGTCAACATTTTTCCCCACACTCAAATCTTTATAAATTTACCCAATCAAAGCTCCCCTAGTCCTTTAGGCAAGGTTAAGGAAATCAATTTCAGGTATGAGGCTTATAATGTGGTTTCATAAAAATAAAATACCGTTAAAAAGGCTCAAAATGGCTACAAAGGATAAATCAATCATGGTATGAATAGGCTATTTGGCTAGTGAGGCTAAAAATCAAAGATGGCCTTAATCATATTAAAATCATGCATGCATCAAATTAGCTTTAAAGAGAATCAAGACAAGTTCTAGAGATACATATCTATGAAAGATATCACACAAGAACAAATTAATTAGACTGAAGTGTCAGTCAAAGGCTCAAAAATCTCACAGGTTCATGCTTGTTTAGTTTAGCCACTACCCTATCAAACAAAACACTAAACTAAATAATCATAATATGCAAGACCAATTATTCAATTATGTTATGAATTTTAGTAAAAATATTATATTTTTTGAAAAAATTATTAGGAATTTTTTAAAGGGAAGAATAAGAATCAAATAATGAATAATAGTTAAATCCCCTCCCCACACTTATTCTTAACATTGTCCCAAATGTTAAATAGAATGTAAAGATAAGAGGAAAATTAATAAAAATGCAAAACAAATAAAGGAAAGAATTGAATAAACTCCCATTGGGTTGCCTCCCAAGCAGCGCCTTTCTTTAACGTCTTTGGCTAGACACTGTCGCCTTCCTAACAAATCCTCATCGTTGGAATTTCTGCTCAGCACGACATTCATTTCCTCATCACCAATCAAATGAGAATTATCCTCCTGCAATAAAATATCCACAACAAACACAGATGATATGCCATTCAAATGTTTCATAGAAGTATTAAATATATCAAATTTAACAATTTCACCATCAAACTCCATTGTCAATGTACCATCATGCACATCAATTTTTGACTTAGTTGTTTTCAGAAATGGCCTCCCCAACAATATTAGTTTTGAATCATAAGAGTTATTATCTTCTTCCATATCAACTACATAAAAATCAGCAGAAAAAACTAAACCTTGCACTTGTACTAAAATATCTTCCAAAACACCTCTAGGATACACATTAGATCTATCAGCAAGTTGAAGAATTATACCCTTTTCTTTTAATGGACCAACATTCAAAGATGAATAAACAGACAAGGGCATGACATTAATTGAAGCTTCAAGATCTAACATTGCTCTTTCAATATTAATATTACCAATCTTGCAAGGGATAGCAAACATACCTGGGTCTTTACACTTGGGAGGTAATTTTTTCTGAAGGATAGCTGAAACATTTTCCCCCATGCTGACCATTTCATTACCTTTCAACTTTCTTTTATTTGTGCACAACTCTTTGAGAAATTTAGCATACCGAGGAATTTGTTTAATAGCATCAAGTAAATGAATATTTACCTCAACTTTCCGGAAGGTTTCAAGAATTTCTTTCTCTTCTTCATTCTTTTTGGATTTAGCCAATCTACTAGGAAAAGGTTGAGGAATTACCAAAGACTTCGGGAGCTCCCCAATAAGATTTGGATCATTTTGAGCCTGAGAGACCTCTTTTTCAGTTCCTCATCTTGGTTGGGTGTTTTTCTTACTTGAGTATGTTCTTTCAACTCTTTTCCACTTCTCAATGTAATTGCACTTACATTTTGCTTTGGGTTCACAATAGTTTGTGACGGCAATTTACCTTGAGACTCCAATCTACTCACGGTAGATGCTAGTTGGCTCACCTGACTTTCCAAATGTTGAATACTTGTTCTTGTTTCTTGCTGAAATTGTTGTGTGTTAGTAGCAAGTGACTTAACAATATCTTCCAATGACGTACCTAAATTAGAAGATGACTGTTGTGGAATAGGTTGAAATTGTTGAAATTGTGGGCGTGCTTTATAACTAAAATTAGGATGATCCCTCCATCCGGGGTTGTATGTATTTGAGTAGGGATCATAATTTCTTTGTGGTTGTCCCGGAAATCCTCCAACTGCATTGACATCCTCACAAGAGTTGTATTGAAGCGTCGGGCACATGTCAGTTGGATGGCCAGTAACAGCACAAATCCCACAAGCTTTTACTTGTTGCACATTCTTACAACTAACTGTTGCACAAGAGTAGTTAATTGAGATAATTTATTGTCAAGGGAAGAAATATTTACCTCATTCACTCTTCTTGGAGATGCGTCTTGTCTACATCCAAATTGTTGTGAATTAGCAGCCATGATGGATATCAAATCTCTAGCATCACGAGGAGTTTTGTTCACTATAGCACCCCCACTAGCTGCATCCATCATATTTCTTTCCATGGGCAGCAATCCTTCATAGAAGTATTGAATAAGGAGTTGTTCAGAAACTCCATGTTGGGGGCAACTTGCACACAGTTGCTTGAAGCGTTCCCAGTATTCGTGGAGGGTCTCTACGTCTCTTTGCTTAATGCCACATATTTCTCTTCTAATGCTAGCTGCTCGTGAAGCTGGAAAAAACTTTTCAAGAAATAGTCTTACCATATCCGCCCATGTGGTTATTGTGCTAGGAGGGAGGTTAAATAACCAATCCTTTGCTTTCTCGGTTAATGAAAATGGGAAGGCACGCAGTTTGATTTGATCTTCCGTCACTCCTTGTGGTTTGAAGCTCGAACACACCACGTGGAACTCCTTTAGGTGCTTATGTGGATCTTCATTTTCAAGTCCACGAAAAGTTGGAAGTAATTGAATCAAACCTGACCTTAATTCAAAACCAACCTCTAATGCAGGATGTTGAATACAAAGCGGTTGTTGATTCACATTTGGTGCAGAAAGCTCTCCTAAGGTCCTTTGTTCTTAAGCCATTGCTTGCTCTACTTCGGGATTGAAACAAGAGGAAATTGATTCAGTTGTGGTATTTGATTGAAGGGATGTTGATGACAAGGCTTGATTTTTGCGCAATTTAGTTTCTTTTCTCAACCTTTTAGCAGTCTTCTCGATCTCAGGATCGTATTGCAATTGACCTGTACGAGAAGAACGTGGCATAAAAATAATCTATTTGACACCAATCCCCGGCAACGGCGCCAAAAATTTGGTGGGTGTCGAATCCAACAAATAATAAATTACTTACTCTTATTAATTGCAATAGTGATGAGTAAGGTCGTATCCACAGAGATTGGTTCGATTAAATTTTATACCAAAAGACTTAACAAAGAATGAGACGAGAATTGAAAATTAAATAGCGACAATAAAAATGCAAACAATATCAAATATCAAATAATCAATAGCAACTAGTATCCAACTCAAGGAATAATATCAATTGAATTCTAACAAGACAGATCATTGATTTCCAAGAAATAATTACTTTACTCTTTACCAAATTGGTTATGGTTATTAACAAGCTCTAATAACCTATCTTTCCTTACTTTGTCGATAATCAAAACAAGCTCTTTGATTACTTCCCTAGTTAATAAACAATCCTAAACAGGCTCTTAGGATTTAATTTACTAACAGCATTAAAAGAATTAGAAAGATTACCAATTCTAGCCAACAAACTCAAAAGCATGGTTCATTTAAGCTAGACTATATATCTTCATAACATAAGATTGAAAATCTAATTTATAGTCAACTATGTTATTTGCTACTAGCTTTAGAACACTTAAACAATTACGGATTCAAAGTTCTAAATAGCAATTTAATACCTTGACAATTGAACAAAGGGCCCTTTTGCAACAATTAATCAAGCAATAATTAAAACTCATATAACAGGAGATATATAAATAATAAAGTGCAGAGAATAAAATTAAGCTAAATAAATCTCACTGGTCTTGTAGAATCAAACTTCAATAATCCTTGAATTGGAAAATTAAAACTCAGCAGTACATTGCAGGGAGTGTTTACAGTAAAATAAAATTATTCTAAGAAAACTGATTCCCTCTACTGAAAAATCCATCCTTATTTATACTAGTTCAGGCTCCCTAATCAACCCAACATAACCCTAATTTATCTAACATCCACAAACTAAATCAATTTCTTGAACCACATAAAACCTAAAAAATAAATAAACTTTATTTTTTCTAACCATAGAAAATTAGCAAGGTAGGCTATTGTTGCTCCAACCTCTAATTCAATTAACTGGTTCGTGGATGTAGCTCAATGAAGCGGTCTGCAGCTGCTGCAAAAAATTGATCAACCGTGGACTCCTTCATCGAATCAAATTGCGGACGAAATTAATCGCAGAGGTCGCAGAGGTCGCGGACGGAGTCTTCTTCGCTTTCTGCGCGCTGCTCTGAACTGTACGTACATATTACGTATAGAGCTTGAAATCAAAAGAAAAGGGAAATAAGTTAGATAGGATTTTGGGCTACTAAAACAATTAAATTATTTTATTTAGGCCACTAGTTAAAACAATAAAAAGAAAATACTTAGCCCAAATCATTAACTGAGCCCAATTCTTATTAATATGAATATTAAGCCTAATTATTCAACTAATTACTATATTAGTTCAAAATATAAAATAAAGTTTAAATCAAATATATTATTAAATAAATAGAATTAATATATTATAAAAACTAATCTAAATTTAACATATAAATTGTGCTTATCAGTACCGTACACACACACGGCAACACATGCCACCCAAGAATCACGTGAACCTTACACAAAGGCCACAACTCCATAATCACGTCACGGCCACCACGAGGACCGTTGCAATACCTTGGTGACTAGTGTCCCATACCACTAATCGTGCAATCCAGGTAAAGCCACGCACACATCACACCACAACAGGAATCAATCAACGGATCACAACGAAGATATGAAACCATACTCAATCAAGGCATGGGTCACAGCCCAACAACAACAACGATGAATAACACAAGTTATCATCAACCAATAAGAAGGTACAAACAACACACATGCTAGCATTTAAACACCAAACTAGCATGCTTATCAACGGGTAAACCAAAGGTAGTTCCGAAGAACACACAAGACACATCACGGTTCAACGAAACACAATGTTGAACACTTAGCACGATTCAAGACACCAAAACCTACATGGAATCCTACCATATAGTTCTAGACATACGAAACATCAAGAAGACACTCAAATAGTTCCACCAAAGAACATCGGGAAGTCAAAAGACCAAATACCGAGTCAAAAGAATCACGGGGAACAAATCCCCCAAACAACACCACTTGTGTACCCGCGGGTGGACCCACGGGTGGTGCCCCGCCCGTGGTTCCGCCCGCGGGAACACATTCCCACAAGGCTTGTACCCCGCGGGTGGGGCGACGGGTGGTGCCCCGCCCGCCGTTCCGCCCGCGGGTACATGTCCTGTACCACAACACCAACTTCGCGGATTTTTCATCTCCAACTCAAATTCAAGTCCAAAACATGCCAAATCTCACCAAACACAACAAAATGACTTGAATCAAAGGAAATGCCAAGCAATGGCACACAAGAACCCTAAACACAAGCTCTAGATATGCATTTTCACAAGATCATGCATCAACACTCACATTTCATAGCAAAACACATGTAGAACCCAAGAAATATTCACATAGGTAAGCAAAATAGGTTTTGTAGAGCATGGGTTACCTTTTGTAGACTAAAGACTTCACTTTACACCTCAACAAGCTCCTCACTAGGCTCACATTCCAAACCCACTTCAAGAACATACCAAAAGATCATAAAGATCCTATCTTTAAGAAAAGACACCTTAGATAAAACCAAAAAAACAAGATAAACTTAGATCTTACCCTCCTAGATGCCCAAATATAAGAAAGGTTGAATCTTGGAAGCAACTCTTGAAGTCTTGGCAAGGTTCCAACTTGGCTTGGAAGAAAAGATACTCACCTTTTAGAGAGAAGGTGGAGCTAGATTTTTAGAAAAGTGTAAGGAGAGAATGAAGGTGGTCTACTAGGTTAGGTTACAATACCAACAACAAGTGAAAGGTCAAGAATACCCTTACTAACATAAGGAAGTGTAAGGAACAAGGGAACTCCTTACAAAGCTCAATGTACAACTTTGACTTTGGGGTTGACTAGTCAATTACTAGTCCCCAACTATTAAATTTCAGGAATTTAAGGAATTAAATTACAAATTGAAATAGGATTAATTACTCAATTAATCCCTAAGTTGAATTTGGATTTCGGGGTGTCACATCCTCTCCCCCTTCCAAGAAGCTTCGTTCCCGAAGCTTGGGTACAACGAATTAAAAGCAAACGGTGAAAGGAAACAACATTGTGACAAGAGGTTCAAGAACAAACTCTTTTGGTCAAAACTCAAAAAGGATTCACAAGAATTTCAAAGCAAGAGAGAAGGCAATTCCAACTCAAGGATTGGCAAGAGTTTAATAAACGGATATTTTGAGCACCACGAACTCTAGCCTCCACCCAAACACCGACTTCTAGCCAACAACTAGGAACTAGACGACTAACACAAAACACCACTGCAAAGCTAACTAAACAACAAGGCAACAAGCAAAACAAGCATAAAAGCAAACCACAAACAACCAACAAACGGCAACAATAGCTAAGAAGATATAACTACTAAGGAAAAGCGAACAAGATAGCCACAGCTTCACACTAGAAGGACTCGCTCTCCGACTCCTCGGATTCTTCATCATCTCTTCGTCGGCTCTCCCTCGGCTAGAACTGGCCTCAAGCTGGTCCAACCTCTGGTTAACTGCGACGGACGGCGTCTTCATAAAAGCGAGGCAACTAAACCAACTACTCAAACTACAAGCTAACAACCACGGCAAACAAGAGAGAACGACTAAACGCACAACTGAGCAAACAACTACTAACGAACCTACTAACAAAACAAGCAAGGGACGCAACAAGGTTCCACAACGAAACGGTCGGCTTGCGAAACGGATGACAAAGCTTAAGAGATGGGTTGCAAACGGGGTTTTAAGCAACAAAGATGTTCACCACTAACCAAAGTTAGAGGAAACAAGGGTTCAAATTAAAGTGGTGAGATAGATAGGTTTGGTTATAACGAAGTTCAACACCAAAACTGTTGGTTAACAAAACGAGAGACAAGACTTAGAGATAGGTTGAGGGTTCACAAAGGTAAGACAAGAAAGAAAGATAAGGTGATAGATAAAAGATTTACCGGAAAGGAAAGCTAACTTCACACCGAGCCTAACTCCTGTTCAAAACTAGCCAACGATCTTCTCAAAACGGGATGTCTCAGCTAAGGAACAAGCCACAAACAGAAACTGACACCGCAAGATCTCTAAACTAGATCACTCGGATCACGGAACTAGGGTTGCATCTTCAACTGATCTCTGCTGACTTCTTCAACCCAAGGAAACAAGGTACTCCCACTACTTAACTTGAGCTCGGCATCTGCTTGAACTTGATCCGTCACTTCCGACGAAGGCTACAACGGCAAGATCCAAAACACGAGCAGGATGTCCTTCTCTCCAGTTCTTGGGCTAACTTGATGCAGGCTGCCAACTTAACACTTGCATTAGCACACAACCCACAACTCGCGGCAAGGAAACACTTGACAACTTCAAAGCTTCAGCTCGGAT